GACATTAATTGCTCTGCACATAGTTTTAAATATCCCCTTGAAATCATTTAAAAACACCATGCAAAATGAGCATTAATGAGGAGACCACTTGGTGTAGTTATGTTATGTAATGTCCAAGTTTCAAGCAAGGAACCGCCGGATGTGATTAAATATAGGCCATTAAAATACTTTTATGTGTCCTATAAACATAAACAAATACTGAGAAAGTATGTAAAGCTATTTTTCCTACTTAAATTTAAATGTATTTGAGATGATCTGCAATGTCATTGTCAAGCGGGTCCTCAAAATCATTATAACAAAAAATACAGATACAGTAGAGCAGACAGGAGGCTACATAAATTAAAAATAAAACAGATTAAAAAAAAAACAATAAAATCAACACAACCATGCACACACACTCACTCACACTTAACTGTTAAAGGGACAGCTCGGAATTTTAAACATAGGACCTCATTTCCTAGTGAGCCAGAGTGTTGGAGACGTGTGGAGACCCTTTTTAAAATATTCCATCCAGTCCTTGTATTTGCAGAGGTCACTGGTGCTAGGCTAGTGCATGTCAATGGGCCATAGTTAGCCTCCCACTAAAAACTAAAAAACAGTCTTACCCACTCCACAAAGCACCCGAAGCAAATTTATTATTACACCAGACTGTCGATGTGAATGTCTGCGTCAACAGAATAATGTTTGAAATAAAACTAACCTTGTATCACTGCATGTTGAAGGACTATTTTCTCATATATCAGTCCGCTGATGCCAAATTTTCTATCAGGAAGTACAACTTGCTGCTGCTGCTCAGACATGAATCCTTCAAGTGCAAGGTTGGTTTTTGGATTCTAAAATTATTCTATCAACACAAACATTTACACTGACAGTCTGGCGTAATAACAGATTTGCTTTGGGTGATTTGTGGAGTGGGTAAGACTGTTTTTAGTGGCAGGATAACTATGGCCATTGACATGCACTATCTTAGCACCAGCGACCTCTGCAAATACAAGGACTGGATGGAATATTTTTAAAAAAGTGTCTCCAACACTAGGAAATGAGGCCCTATGTCCAAAATTCCAAACTGCCCCTTTAAAGACAGAATAAGTAATGTATGAACAAAAACTGATTTACTTATTTTGAATTCATTATCACCATTTATATTGTCACTCTTTGTTATTATAATATATTGTGATGTGCGCACTATTTTGATCAAATAATTTCCCTTGTGGACCAATAAAGTTTGTCTAACTCTAAATAATATGTGGCTAATATGAAAAATCTGTAATTTAATTTTGGCATTAATTACTATTTATTCAGTCCTTATTAATGTCTAATTCCACATAGGCTTATTCTGCTATTAGTTAGACATTTACGCTTTCCTATTAATACAGTCCTTATTACTGCTTATTAATATGATACTAGGCAATTTTTGTATATGAATTATGATTCTAATAAGCTGATGTTGTTAAGGACTAGTAGCACAAGAAATGTAGTTTTCACTTATTTGCACCAAAAGCTTATTAGAATCATAATTCATGGACAAAAATGGCCTAGTATCATATTAATAAGCAATAATAAGAAGTGTATTAATAGGAAAGTGTCAATAAATGTCTAAATAATAGCAGAATAAGCTTATGGGGAATTAGACATTAATAAAGGCTGACTAAATACTAATTAATGACAAATTAATAATTTACAACTATGTTAATTAGCAGGTAGTTAGATGTTAATAAGTGTACCCTAAAATAATGTGTTACCAAATAATCTTACCCATACCATGAAAAGCTTGCATCAAAATTACTCATGACTTACACTCACACCTTTTTTTTGTGAATGACAGTCGCCTGCTGCTCTTGAATTGCTCTTGTATTCTTTGCAGCTATGGGAGAAACTCAAGGACAAGTCCACCTACATAGTCAAAGGGTTTTCTGTGTTAAAAGTTAAGCCTGTCTTGTGACTCATCTGTAATTAACATTGTCAAAGACGTTCCCCCGTGGATTTTAAATATTATTTTAATGAACGTCACCATCATTAATTTTCTGCTGGAAATACATATTCATGGTCTGTCCTAACTCTGCGGGGCACTGGCAAGACAAAGTGTGCTCAGATCTGTCAAAGAGGAGATTTTGATTTTGATGTGAACAATATTTTACACATTAAAGGTGCATTGTGTAACTTTTCTGATGGAGGGTTCGTCAAATGCTTTTCTCTATGGAGATGTTATACACTTGTCTGGAATGTTTCACAGTATGGCATTAAACCTTTTTATCTTCATAGCAAACCACACCAAGTTACTGGTCAGATCTGTGAAGTGGCAACGCTGCTCAATCCGTGCATCATTCATTCAGTTGTTTTTCAAAATAAAACCAAAAATAAGAAAATGAAAAAAAAAAAAAAAAAAAAACAATTTTCTTCATTATTTGTCTCCAAAACCAAAATGAAAAAATGGATAACGATTTGTATTTTCAGTTCTTGATTTTGTGTGAAATGAATAATGGAAAAAATTGATAACGGCCGTTTCCTGTTTACGTGACTTAAACTGAGATGCCAGACTGAACCAGGACTAAACCAGGACTTAACCAGGACTAAACCAGTCTCAGTCCCGGTCTGGTCCCAGGTTTCAGTCCCAGTCTCAGTCCCAGTCTTCAGTCCCAGTCTCAGTCCCGGTCTCAGTGCTGGTCTCAGCCCTGGTCTCAGCCCTGGTCTGATCCTGGTCTCAGTCCCGGTCTCAGGCCTGATCTTGTTCCGGTCTGGTCCTGGTCTCAGTCCTGGTCTGGTCCCAGTCTGATCCCGGTCTGGTCCTGATCTCAGTCCTGATCTCAGTCCTGGTCTCAGTCCTGGTCTCAGTCCTGGTCTCAGTCCTGATCTTGTTTTGGTCTGGTCTGGTCCCAGTCTCAGTCCTGGTCTCAGTCCTGGTCTCGGTCCTGGTTCAGTCCTGGTTCAGTCCTGGTCTCAGTCCTGGGACGCAAAAGTCCAGCATTGCAGTTTAAGTCACGGAAACATGAAACGGCTGTTATCCATTTTTTCATTTTGGTTTTGGAGACAAATAATGAAGAAAATAGCTGTTTTTTCATTTTCTTATTTTTGGTTTTATTTTGAAAAAACTAATGAACGAATGATACACGGATTTTGCTCACTGTAAGAACACTTGTTTTTCTAGGTATTTTTGAGCTAGAAAATTACCTGTAATTGAATAAACATAGTACAACTTTAAAAAATAGGGCATAAATTCATACCAACTGTATCCAATATGTCTTCCACTGAAACATGCTTACAGAATTTGACCCTTTGATTTACTTTCAGCTTCGTGGATGTGCTTATCTGTCCCGGCCCAACGCTGTCCCACTGAGCCGATCTTACATCAGCGGTGCTCTGAGCTGAAATAATCGGCGAGATAACTATGACTGAGGAGCAGCAGTTATGTAATGTAGCTGGACTAATTTGCTACTGTCATCTTGAACTCGTCTCAAAAGGGAAAAAGAACACATAACGGTAATGAGCATTTAAACGTGCCTCTGTTTTTCTGCGATACCCACGCCTTCTGCATGGAGGATGATATTAATAGCACAGCAGAGTAGCATGCAGTCAGATCAGAGGATTAAAAGCTTTAATTGAGTAAATCTTTTTCGTTGTTAATGTGTATTTCTTACTAACTGGATCTGTGAAACTTCAAGGATTCCAGGTATTCTGCGCTTCAAGGATTAAACCACCTGGCAGGTTAGGATCTCAAAGTGGATAATTGAAAACATTCTGAAATTTAGACTTCATGACTAAACCTTTATTTTATGGAATTATTGTTGTTAAAATATGAAAATTTCAAACTTGATTTTGATACTAAGGAAAAAATGGAATACTCAGTACAAATTTGGATACCACAGTGATGAAGAAAATAAAAACAGACAATAGGATGTAAATTTCTGAATAAATTAATAGTATTCCCTGTGGTTCTACACTGGTATTTTCGATAGTATGATTAAAGTATTGATTACTATCTGAGTTTCAACCCCAGAAGAAATATATCATTCTACTCTAATGCCTTAAATCTTTGTGATGTTTTACAATAGATAACCATTCTAACCAATATCAGATTTTTACATCCATTGTAAGGTCTTTACCTAAATAGTTGTTCTGTAGTACTTCTGTATCTGTACTCAATGACAACTTTTTTTGCAGAGGGGGAAAGAGGGATGCATTTGTTTGAGTGGAAATTTGCCTATCAAAGCTGGGAATGCCAGTGCCAATGCCAGGATAGGTTAGAAAATTTGGGGTGTCCATTAATATTTACTCGATTACAATTTAATAATGCCACTTTTTATACACACTACATTGCAAATATTTATTTTACTGACATATTAAATGCATATATACTGAGCAATTTTAGAGTCAAATTAGAGACCTAGACCTACATAGTTTGTTTCTATTTGTATATATTGGACTGTATTTGACACCCTCTTGGTACAAACAGGCCTTTTTGTGGGCCATTTGTTTATTCAGCTCAGCCTTCACTACTGTTGTTGTCTATGTAATTATTATTATGCATCTAGAAACCAGAGAGATACATGACAGCTCTACACAGAATGTACATTCATGAAGAGACTAACATCAGTGCACTGTCAGAAAGATGCACTTACAATACAGCCTGATGTGTCACAAATGTTTCCTTAAACACAGCCCTGCGTTAGAACAGCTCGTTCACACTCCCTTCTCAAATGCAAATCAAAACCATGTCTGAAGTAATGTCCTGTATTTCTTTGAAGCGGAGCAGGTCCAGAACAGACACATGTTCCTTCACTTGTGTTTAATAGTGTTGATATTCCACTGACACTGTCGTTCATTCATAAACACACAGATGAGGCGGGCTCCACCCTGCCCCAGTCGCTCTAACTCCACTGCTCCATCCAGATCCTCCATTTCACACAAACTAGCCCTGAAACTAGCTCACTGTTTGATTAAATGACGGCCTGTATTTCTGACTAACATTTAATTATTACAAATGTGAAACCACAAACAATGACTTGTTGCTAAAAGCGATTTATTTTTAGGCACTTGTGTTAAAAGTTGGCACTGCTGTTGTTGTCTCCTGCTGTACATGTGCACTTACTTGGAATCGCTCCACATATCTGATTCCCATGGATGATATTGGTTTATTCAGTGCTGTTTGAGCAGGCTGTGGTCCTCAGTACGCATGCACAAACCTCTAAAACATCCGGCTGGCCTCCATAGTTGTAAGAGAGCATGTAGAAAGCCACGCTCTGAACATGTGCCTCCAGGCCTCTGTAGAAGGGCAAAACAACACAAGTCAATGAGACGTACGAACCGGACCACTGAGCAGACTGCAGCAATCGAACTGTGGTTGTTGCAGTCTGCTTGGTGACCAGAAGAGTGTAGTAAAGGACATCATGACAACAAACATGTTTCAAACAGATAGAAGTGAAGGGAAAATGGGAATATTTGGAGATAATTCAAAACTTTTATGATTTTAGATCGTATTGGGCAACCACTGCTTGCCTTGATCGCCCTAACCACACGCCACTGAGGGATGCAATGATCCTGCTTTTTCGTTTCCAATAACGATCTCAATACTACAGCTTTATGTATTGAGATTGAAAACAGCATTATTTTCCTTTACACAAAAATATAATAAGACAAAACTGATCCAAATGTGTTAATTATGTCTCAAGTAACGAGAGAACAACATTGTATAAATAGAAATTCAAACATTATGAGACTTTCTGAGCTGAGAATGACCAGCTAATAGTCTAATTACACTGATTAGTATATCCATCTAATATTTGGAAGCCGATATCGGGTCCAGCAAATTTTTCAGTATCAGTGCTGATCCGATAACAGTGTTGAACAGTGTCGGTGCGTCCCTATAAGAACCCACATTATAATAAAGTCCAATCATACAGACAAGAGCAGTAACCTCCCTGCCACAAATAGACATGTACTACCTCAAATCACTAAAATTATGAAGAGAGACAGTTGCTATTCTTTTCTGATTGTTTTTCATATCAGAAAAACAATAAACAGCCCTGAAAACAAGATCTGAGTGAGGCTACATAAGGTCCCTCTGGCACACGGCCTAGATTTGTTGACAATTGGCAGCGCACTGTAGCTCTTGGGTTATGTCACAACATTAAATATTGAATGTCCCTTTCCACAGACACTTTTACTTTTTCTGGCTAATTCCGCAAAGTACATCAATCATAATCCAAGCCCGTGTTAAATCCCTTGTGTTTCCAGGTGAAGCAGGCTTACCCCATGATAAATGAGGAACCAAGTGGCAAATCCAGGACTTGGTTAAGTTAATAAAGGTCTATCAATGGACGAGACCGGAGCTGAATGCAAACTCTCCCCTATCAGTCCCTGCAGCAGTTCTCTTTTAGCCCCGCGAGTGTGTCCTGAATGCTAAACGTGGGCCACAGTATTGAGCGCCACTGAAGGGTTTACAAAGCGACAAGTGGCCAAGGAGAAGTGCGAAAGATAGTGAGCCATCGGCACAGACACATGGCGATTCTCTGTCGTCAACCGGAAAAGAGCGTTTCTCCAGGCCAGCTCACATCGTATATCAGACAAACCCATCTGCCACTGTCACATGTCTTGCACTAACTGTACTGTTTTCAGGAGAAGACGCCAAGCTTAGGGAAGTTCACTCTTGGGTACACACCGCAGCAGAACTGGGACTAAACTCAGAACTAAAGATAGACTACATGAGGGCTAAATTGGTTTTGATGGATTAAAAATGGATTAAATACAGGACAGGACTCAACTAGGTCTAAACAAGAATTATGGCTGTTTGTCTGAATTAACATAATACCTGGATTCATATAAAACATGAGAGCTGGTCTAAACTAGAACTACAAATCAAGATCTAAAATAGGACAAAATAAAGTCTAAACCACGTTGAAGCAGTACTCTAAACTCAAAACTCTCTCTGGATCAAACTTTATATAGACAGAAAGTGAGACCTCAAGAGATTCAACAGCATCACTTCAAAATGTCTGTGTGAAACAGTTTGACAAGCACAACAAAAGCCAAATGAAAGCATTAGGGCTGTAAGTAGCATGTTCCTTAAAGAAACATAAGCTTTCATTTGGTGTGCATTGGATTAACTTTGAGGCCAAAACGAATTGAAATGCAAATAAGATGGGGATTACTGAGAGAGCATTCATTCTCCTATTAAGCGTTCAAACATGGCTGCAATGCCAAAGACCTTTAATTACCCACTGTTTACTTGTGCTGTTGCTTACATCTGTCATCATTGTAACAGAGTTCAGCACCTTGACAAGCGTTTGATGCACAACACAATCTAACAATGTTGTGATTTAGCTCCACGCTCTGGTTCAGTCATTCTCACAGTGTGCTACAGGTTGTATTAGTAGAATACAGCTAGACAAGTCTATTCTGAAGAAGTCTACTTCTAGTTTAGCTTTTAGTTTAGCTTTAGAAGTCTCCTTTTAGCTTTGTCTGGGTTAGTCTGGGACATGGTCCTCTTGGCTTTGAGATCCTAGTTCAGATGTGGGTTAGTCTTGGTTCTGGACAGTTTTTGCCCTGGTTTAGTTTTTTAAATGTGAGTATATATGTGTGTGTTTTGTTCTTGTTTAGCCTTGGTTTATGAGTGCCAATCTTTTAGATCTCAATTACCAGGGTTATTGGACTGGGGGTACAGGGTACTGCTTCCCCAGGGCCGGGAGGAGCCCTTCACAAATTCTGTAATGGGCATTTTCCATTAGACAATATATAGTGTGGGCCCAAGAAAATGATTTGCACCCAGGGCACAGAATTTGGTGCTACAGCCCTGCCAATAAGTACTTGGTCTGAATGGTCTAAAATTGCAGCTCTACACACTGAGCTTTTCTCTCCTCCACGTTTGCCTTGTTATTGTGCAGACAGAGACTGAATCAAACGCATGCCTTTTTTTCTCCTTTACACAGGCATCTTCTTGGTAACCCGATGCGTCCAATGCAAAGAAAATGGCTCTAAATGAGAAGAAGTGAATCATTCGAACTTCAAACGCATGGGCTTCTTGCACACCCACAAGTGTGAAATTAGTAGCTGCGGGGTTAGCGCTGACTTGAAAGTGTCCAAATGCGAATTCCTTTTAATACTTTTGAAATCTTCGGACATAAAGAAAAACTATTTACTTTCAAAGACGAGCAATCACAAATTCATGAATTGTTTTTAGTGAAAATAATATTAAACAGCTTCTGAGACAAATTAGTTGCGGAGGTTTTTTCTCAGTTGTGTTTTATCTCTTGAATAAACGACATTTTGTATTCTTGCATGGCATTTAATTGTTCAATGGATACGTTAAGATAATGCTTAAAAGCTATTTACCATGCATGGTCAGTGAGAAATGGCAAGTTTGAACAAGTGTATAGACTGACATCTGCTGGCAAAACGTGAATATGACTATTTTCAATTAAAATGCATTGGACTAAATTGTCTACTTTTAAATAGTGCCTGGTAATATTTTAGATAAATTCTATATTGTATATGGATTCATGGTGTCATTAAACCACTGTCAGTGTCACGTTTTGAGATATGCAGCAATGGAATCATCTACTATAAATAACGCTTCAGTCAAAAAACAGTTAAAATGAATTATTGTATTAAACTGTATTAAATCATGTAGATGTGCTATGGCATGTGTAAACTCACACTGGTTTGTAGGCTCAATCTGGATTTACTGTCAAATGCTTTAAGTGGCCCTTTTTATGTTATTTTCTGATTTAATTATAATGTTTTCTCATCACAAGCGTACCTGAAGTTCTGTTTTGTTTCCTTCACACGTTTAACACACAAATCCAGCATAGGGTCTATCATTTTCTCAAAAAGAAAGATATCATGTGGTAATGCAGAAAGCTGTGTTTTTAAATTAAGATACCTTCTCTAGAATATTTTTTTGATCATTTCAGCCCTAGAATTGCCAGTCTTTCCTCAACTAAAGGCAAAAGGTAGCTGTTAACTTGAAAACTACCACTACATGACATCACAAGGTGGAACAGAGCATACTGAGCTTTGGGGATGTAAACAGACTAATACTAAAGGATCACTCAAACATGTGTAAATGAAACAAAAAACAACTCCAGGTCTATTTTTGAGGAGGTAACGACATTCTAATATGGCTTAAAGTTCACAAGTCAGTTGTGTATAATATAGGACCTTTAAGATTATAGACTATTCCATTTCCTAAAACTAGATGTAAACAGTAGTAAGCATGTCTGTATTAGTGTAGCCTTTGTTATCTAAATGACTGTAAATTACAAACATTTTCTTATAATTAGGCCTACTGTAATTTGGAATTTAATGAATGCTAATGACACAAACATTTGGCTCCAGTATCAGTGTTTTGAAACAGGTGTTATATAAGGTTGTCTTCAAAAGTGGATATTTCACCTTTCTTCCAGACAAAGCTTCCTCACTGGGCGCCATGTTTTATTTTTTTTTACCAGATGAAAGCACTGACAGCCTTTCTGGGTCACGGCGAAAGGGGATGTTGAGAGAAAATAGACGTTTTTAAAGGGAAACCGCCGCACCTGTAATCTGTATGGCGTCCCCACATCCCCCCGGCCTTTACATCAGTGTCAAAAATAACCCTGTCTCCTCTCCAAAACCAGCACTTTTTGTCTGACTCATAATTCATTTCTCCATAAAAGCCAATGAATAAAACAGTTAAGAAGTGTTTATGCCAAGGCCTGCTGTAGCCTCCCACACAAATCCAAGAAGAAATATTCTGTTTTAATGTGACCCTATAGACATCACGCCATAACTTGAATCACCAGTGACAGACAAATAGCCTCGAGCATCCAATTAAATGTGATATGGCCTGTGATATGTGTAAACCTTTTCAGCCCCTGGGCGCAGCGAGGGAGGAAGGAAGAAGGGGGGGGCACAGGGACAGAGAGAGAGAGGAGGGGAGGGAGGGATGAGAGAGAGAAGGAAGGAAGGAGGGACAGAAGGAAAGAGGAAGGGAGGGAGGAAAAAGATGAGAGGCCTCCAGAGAAGTCAACACATAACAGCCTCAAGTGCAGCCTTTAGCAGACACCAAAATGTACAAAATTATCCCACAGCAAAGTCAATGGGCTATGGCCTGTCTCTGTTTGGTATTTGACTCATGCATAATTTCTTAAGACATGCATCTGAACACAGTATAGGCTAGTTGCTTCCTACTGCAAAATTTGGACTAAATAACAAATATAGTTATGTTAATGTTTAAAGGTCCTATATTACACAAAATTGATTCTGGTGAGCTTTAAGTCATGTAGGAATGCTGTTGCATCATCATAAACACACCCAGTGTTGTGTTTTGGTTGATTTGATTGCCAACTCTGGGTATGTTTTCGATGAAGAGACAACATTATAACAGAGATCAGAAAGTAAGTGTTGACATGTTGACATTCTAAAACAATGGGATCATCAATATCTGGGTGGCATCCACAAATAAACAAATTACATTTTATGAATTGTATCGAAAACTCACTTTTATGGTATTTTGTGGTTTGTTTTGTTCAGTTATGACATAATTAAAGTTATGTTGTTTCAGAAAAATACCCAAAATAATACCCAAGGTAACATCTGCACTTTCCTTAGCAAGTCCTTGTCTGCCCATGGGCTCATTTTAATCTGTTTAATCTATTTACTTATTTTGATGAGACATTATAGCAACCTGAAGAGTTTATGGTGCAATAGAGGTGAGCTTCTGACGTAGAGCTAAAGGTTACAGGTTACAGGTTTTTGTCTGTTCAATAGCAGTCTCACCCACACTCCCACCCTGTTCAAACAAGCATGGAAAAGCACATTAGTAAATCAGTGAACCTTAGTCAATGATTGAGAGTGAATTGTCTATCACTGTCTCTGCCACGCAAGTCTGCCCTGATGCGGTCATTATGAGAATGTGCCCATTGTACAAGTAAAACCTACCACACAAAAAGATGAGCTCTCGTGTCACGTCTTGTTGGGCTTGACTGCTCAGATAAAAAAAAGAAAAGAAAGAAAGAAAAAACTGAAACTGTATTTTCATATTACTTTTGTGTATGATATGGACTTGTAAACAGTAATAATGTAATTTATTATGCCATATAAAGGGTTAATTATTTTGATAAAGGTGCAATTTTCCTTGGTGGTAAAAATATGTATAATAATAATAAAGAATTAGAATCATTCCTGTGTTTGATATGTGTTTGAATTAAAAAAAAATAAAAAAAAAAAAAAAAAGTCAATTTAAATACTGAACCTCTTTTAAGTGTGACATGAACCTGCTGTTGTAGTGTTCATCTTTCCTGAAGCAATAGAAATATTTATTTGCAATTAGCTAGTATAATTACTGTCTTTACATTAAGACTCATTTACAACAAATACATATAATTTCCTTTATTGTAAACAAAAAAATGCATAGAATTTTACAGATAACATTCATTTGTTAACTTTTTTGTTTTGTTTTAGAACTGCTAGAGTTTATACTAGTGCATCATGAATCCAAGTCAGTTTTATTTTTATTGATTGAAAACCTTGCAGTGAAGGTATGCTAGCTTCTCTGTTCTGCTTTTCCTCAGCAGGGGAAACCATTCCTGATAGTGCAGTTCCACAACCTTATACCCTGCCAGCTTCAAGTGCCTCCTCTTCATGGCATGGAGTCCCAACAGCTGCTCGGAATGGTAGCAGTAATGATTTCTATTGGATACCTGTATAGCAAGTTTCATTGGCCCTTTATTTTCCTTAAGCTTTGAACTTTTGGTTAACATGTCTGTTAACTCATTGGTCAGGAACAAGCCAGTATCAAATGTTTCCCTCTCATCAGGCTCTACCCTATGAAGTTGTGTGGGTTTAACTTTTTTTAATGGAGTATTTTTGTTTTTGGTATTTAATAACTGAGCAACGAGATCATCTGTCACTTTAACGCCAATGTTCGTTTTGTTCCAGTTATAGAAATTTTCACTTTTGGAAGATGTTTTTTCTGGTGTGTTATTGCATAGTGACGTCACTGGAATGGGCTGTCCCTTTGAATCCAAATGCACTTCTAGATCGATGGAGCGCGTGTGCGGCAGTATCATCCTCTTACACACAAACTTCTCTCCTCCAAGCAAATCCTTTAAACATAACTCTGCTTGCACAACTTCTAGTTTTTGGCAAATATCTGACTCTGCGAAATTACAAAGCATGTCTGCCACCTCTTCTTTTAGTTCGGAGCTCAGCCATGGTCCGGTCGTGGCAACTCCAGCTCCACAGCACCATTTAAAGTGTACAAATCTTTCTTTAGATCCAGTTGTGATGATTTGAGTGCTAAGTTAACAAACTCTGGGCTAAGTGCTAATGATATTAAATCCTCAGGGAAAGAAGAGACGAAGGCGAGCCCTAAAAGTCCAGTGAGGAGATGTTCTGGGTAGCGATAAAATTCAGCTTTACGTAGCCTTAGTCCCTCTGTGAGACTAGGATACAGATTTGGACTTTTAACAGGAAGAAAGCCTAATGTCCCGTATGCCCACAAAAGCTTACTTGAGTCTTTACTCCTACAATGTGGTACTAGCAAGGGAACTCTTTCTGCTATTCCCGTAAGTATATTATCATTGCGATAATGCAGAGCAGAACAGGCCAGTGCCATGTGCATGAGCCCCTGTATGCCCATCCTGTGCGCACGCCTCGGTACCTCCTTCCCCATAGCCTCCAGCCACTCCTTGTGATACAGATAGCTAAACCGCAAATACTTCATCACATTCACTAGTCCAAAGTCGCTCATGTCCTCCACAAAAAGGTACGCCTTGTCCACAATACGCATCACAGCTCCTTCTGATAACGAAGTTTGGGATTTAAAAAGACCCAAGCATACAGTGCCCACCTCTTCTGGTTGTAGCTCGTGTAAATGGCGCATCAACAGCTGTTCCAAAGGTTGAACCAAGTCTTTAGGGCAATGCCTGCCTTCTCCCAGGATGTAGAGGAGTTGTACCAGCTCCGGAGTCCCTATCTGGCCTACATATAAAGGAACAGATCCATAAACTTTTTTCAAATACTGGGGTACCTGCTTTCCAATGCAGCGCCACAAATCTGCAGTGAACAGCAACTGATGTAGAGTCATTTGATCAGCTCTACAGCTCAGCTCTGATTCGTACAGGTCTAGTACACTGTGAGCTGAGGGCATTTCCAGCCACACAAATGCCTGCAACACTTCCAATAGTTGAGATAAAGAATACAGCTGCAGGTTTTCTACTGAATATCTAAGTAGCATGACAAAACGCAAGTCACTCCTCACTAGCGTAGTCTTGTCGGGGTCCACACAGCTCAGCTCCCAAAGGATACTGGAGACATCAGATGGTTTCATAGCAGCTTTTAGCACAGAGACTTTTTTTAAGAGTGCCCATGCTTTGTCAAATGGAGTAGACGAAGGTCGTTGGGTAGTATCCAGAGACACATATGAATATTCCGGTCTGCATTTGAGGAAGGCACGTGTGTCAAATCTAACATCTGGTGGGATCGGTTGTCTACGTCCCTGTGATTGTGTTTCAGGGCTTTTGTTAAACGCTAAGTCAAGCAGAGTGTTTTTTGTGCTGGAAAGATGTCGGGAAGAACTCACACTATATGTGTTACCTTGTTGCCAGAAACAAGGTGTAAGAATAGGCAGACATGGTTCATCCTCTTCATTGTCTCTTTGGCTCAGAGCGGTTTGCAAGTGTCTGATGTGGCAATATGAAGATGGTTTATAGAAAAGTTTGTATGCAAGTTGAGGTCCTTCTTCCCCAGGCTGTAATGCTTCATCGGTCTCACCCGGATCATCAACATCCTGCTCTGCTGTGCTGTGCTGACTACGTACCCAGATCAAGCCTCTTTGGAATCTTGAGAGGTGATGTAGCTTCAGGATACGTTGACAGAATACAGAGGTAGCCATCAATCTGTGCAGAGTGAAATAAAAGACAGAAATGGTCAGAGTGTCATTTAATGCAAAGCGATTTAACATTTTGAATAATGGGACGACTGTAGAATCTACATTGATGCAATCTTTAGAGCAGCTTACACCCTAATAAAGTTTTATAGCATACATTACCTTTTGTTTGCTGAGCATCAGTTCCTCAAGCACATGGCTACGATGACACCGGTATTCGGTTATTGACCTCCACAATAACATTTATGCGCCCCTTTGGCATAAAGCTATAAACGATACACAAATGAATACATACCGTATGCAAACGTTGTACTAACACGTCGCTTCAGCAGTTCACACAAAGTGAGTACAAGCCAGATGACAAATTTAGTACAGTTTCGTGCACCCTGGAATCCGCCATGACTGACCAACATATGACCTACGGTAGCCGCAAAGGTTCAAAATTAGCGAACAGAAAAGCTAGCGATTTACTTGGTTTTATTTACTTTGTGTATTGTTTTCTATAACAAATTTATAAAATGTCTTAGGATATCATACGATATGAGTCTATTAGTCTACATATTTTGACCCGATTTAATTTTTATATTTAATTATTTATTTATATTTTTTGCAAAGATTTCAAATTCAGAGAAGCCCAAATAAAAATGTCACAACTTAAGATAATGTATGACATTTAACAAAACGTAATATTTAAAGTCATTCTAATGTAAAATATGTTAAGTTGCCGTTTTTTCTCGAATGATGATAAAATAAGATAATAATAAGATAATTTGATGATACAGCCTAAGCTGATTAAGAAACGTTGTCTGAAGAAACTGAAATATGCTGTCATACTATGAAGATTTCATAATTGTGTTTTGTTAAAAGGAGATAACGTGTATGTTGAAAGCTGAGAGGCACTTTCTTTGAGAGGAAGTACTTGCTTTATGCTAATGAAGAGGAGTTGAGCTGCTGCTGGGAGCCGCCCTTCATTCACCACATGGTTAAACCGAGTCTACTCGCGCCACTTTCGCAATCTTACTACGCTTCCCAAACTCCAAACAAATCGCAATAGTACCACATGGTTGTGTTTTTTGGGATTGTAGTCGCCGGCGTGGTTTACTTTGAGAAGTATTTTCTTTGCTCTCTTCGTCAAATAATGCTAAAACAGTGAGTAAACGGTAAGTCTGAACAAGTGAGTGAAGATGGTGGATTTTTAAGCTAGTGTCTTGTTACGCGCATGTTATTGGCAGGAGACCTGTTGTTAGCCTTTTCTGGAGTTGCGTCAATAAAGTCATATGCTGAGAATCGTATGCGACAACATGAGTAGATTTGTCGATCACGTTAGAAAAAACACGTTTAATCGTCAGTTTCCGCATCTGAAAGCGATGTTGTACTGAGCGCATGGCAACCTCTTCTCCAGCGCTGGAGAATGAGGGAGATTTGAAAAACATGTGTTGCTGCACCTCAAGTTGTAGCTTGGAGAAGTGGTTCTCGCCTTAGAAAATATGCATTTAATGCATACATTAAAATGTCAAGTTCTGTTGACGCGCATGCGTTTTTTTAAGTATATAAACAGAAGGAGTAGTGTGTCCCGTGTGTTTCTGCGCTGCTGTGCCTCTTAAAAGTACTACAGAACAAAGCGGCAGCACATGGGGCTGGTGTAGGCCTCGTTAGCATGTGCTAACGCTCCTCAGTATACAGTATATCTTAAATAAATTTGTCATGATCTTTATGAACTTCAAGAATATGTTGTTTAATTTACTTTATAGATGGCAGCTCGTCTGCGTGTACTTGTAATTGCATTGTGTTCTACAGGAAAGCGCCGACACGCGATGTTAGCCTATCAATATTAGCCTGCTAACACATTGGTCTTTTATATGGTTTCTGTTTTTGTGTCTAAACATCTCAAAGTGTACACTACGAGCTTTGCCAAACACATGGGTGGTTAATCTGGGTTATAATGTACTCTGGGGTAAAAGTTTGGCGCTGTCGCGGTTCACACGCGTTAGCTTGTGGCTAGCGCATGCTTCATCGTGCCGTGTTTTGGTGACTCCTTCGTGCGCTACTCGCTGGTCGTGTTTGACTCTACTCGGAGTTAACTTTGCAGTGGCACTACGCGCGGTGCGTGCGCGCGTCTGTGCGTACGCATCATATGCACCTGATCAAATTTTGATTTCAGTAGATCTGAAGTTGGTATCAAACGAGTTAACACTGTAGAGTCCATATTGGTGAGCATGTTTATAAAACGGTCAATTGCGGACTTGTAGGCGCCATGTTGCCGTATGGGGGAGGGGTGGACAATGTGACTACTACTCTTATGTGTCTCTCAGGTCCAATGGGTCCAGCTCTGTTTCAGATGCCTATTGGTCATTTGTTTTTGTTTAAAGTTTAGAGGTAGTAAGATTGTTTTGTTTAGTGTGATGGAAAAAATCCAACCTATATTTGATTTGATAAGCTATTGTCACATGTGTTGGGTATGCCAAATTTGGGTCAACTTATTGTTAAAGTAGCCTACACTTGTTTCTGTTGCTTTGTTTGTTTAAAGATAAAATAAATGTTATATAACTAACTTTTAGAAGGCTTGAATTTTGTCATCTAAATTGGTTTACTACACTAAACTATTCTGAATTGAATGTTTCACACTGTTGACTGATGACTTTGTAAAATGTAGCAATGTGTGTGTGTTTTACTTTTGAAAAGATTAGGTTTTCCTTTATAACATCATTGTGTCTTGTTTGTGCTTACAGGCCAATTCTATGGAGCATCTCTCCTGGAGACCTCTTCATTGTGGACTTGAAGGCAATTTGATGTGAATAAAATCCCCTACCTCTGACATTTAAAAGTCACTGTAGTGTCAAAGTGCTTACAGTGCAGGTAGTCTTGTATAATCTACTGCAGTGGAGGCACTTTCAGCACTATTGTGATGAGAGAAATTGTAGGAGCACTGCCTTGAATACGCTGCTCTTCACTGGGGCGCACACAACGCCTGGGTGTCTGCTCTTTTCAACAACTCCCCTACAGATTTTAAATATAGAAGATGAACTCTCAACTACAAATTCTTTATCCAATTGTTTGAGTTAGTATTTGACAGTGCATATTCTCTTATTCAGATTTTTAAAAATTCTGCTAGCGCTTATGCTAAGGTGCATCTAGTGCAGATAGTGAAGTAGACTAGCACCTACTGCCCTAAGTGCTCCTTCTGGCATAAGGGACTGGAAGTCTCTTCTTTTTATGTTCATGCATTTATTGTTAAAATCAGACGGATCACTGTTAGTTTTGCCTAGTTGCGCTGCAAGAAAGACAGTTGTGCAAATCTATGCAAAACTGACAGTGGCCTGTATTTTCATCATTACTGGCATAATCTTGAGCTTTAGACAAGGTTTCAGTGGTATTAAAGTGCTTATAGTGCAGGTAGTTTGAATTGTTCTACTGCAGTATGAGCACTTAAAGTACTTCTAGACTTTTATCGCCTCACACAGTGGCTGGGGTACTTTGCGTTCATGGGTCTCTGGTCAGTTTTGCTGGTTTGCTTTCAGCTTTCAACTAAAATGCTGTGCAAATCCATGCAAAACTGATCATGGAACTGAAATGATTCTAATGTGTGTGTGGTGTCCATTATTTGCAGGTTGGGAGAGGTAGCAATGCTTTGTGCATGTGTGGTATTGCACTTGTCCCGGCCTGTGAATGATCAGGCATTGTTCTGCTGTGGTCTATGGCAAATATTGCACTCATTATTGTGAATTTGTCTTTTGTTGTTCAAAGTTTTACTGCTGTGTTCTTTCACTAATTAAATATGTGGTCCAGTAAATGAAGCTCTTCATTTTGTATGGTTCTTATATAGGCTGTAGGGTAATGAGATTAAGAGAACGATAGCAGGATTATTCACGAATTTGCCTCTGCCCGGCCCACTGAAATTAGACATGTACTCAATGTGCAAACAGTAAGAACTAAACTATTGCTATTTCTAGTCAATGTGTAACGTGCATAACTGAAAATATTTTGCATGTGTTAACGGATCTGTGTGTGCACCTGTGGAGCGAGTATCGTGCTTGTTTTGTAGTGATGACAAGCGTCCACCAGAGGGTGCCACCTGTTCAGTTTGAACGTCGACAATTTCACACAAGCCAGCTTTCCTTGCAAAGATTTTTGTAAATTATGGATAATGAAAATTTCAAAGAAAAGTTCTAAAGTACTAAAATTGTAACACGTACAGCAGATTACAGGCTGTTTCTTTTACCCTAGGTTCTGACCACGAATGTGTTTCTCAGATAGTGGGCTGGTAAATGTCTGGTGAAACAGCCTCACTCAAATGTTCATATTTTCATTATCAAGTCCTTTTTACTGACGATCAAGATAAACGGGGCGCATACAGAAAAGGACTTGACCTCAAAGACTCTTTCAGTCCGACGTGACAATTGCTCCATCATACCCGGTGTCCTGTCTCTAGCCTCTTCAATATCTAATTTGTTACGATTGAAGAATGCACTTGATTTACTTCAACGTGGATGGGTATTTTGTCAAAGCTGCCTATAGCATGCAGGTCAGCACCAATCAAAGTAACGAGGTAGGCTTTTTTGTAGCCTATTATCTATGTAGCCCATCTACACAATTGCGTGGATTGTTTGAGAGTGCAGCTTCTACTTACAAGCAGCCTGCATTTTACAGTGGTTAGATTTCCCTTTCCTTCTGAGAGTGCCTTATTTGAACTTTATACTGCATTACATTTTCACATGGACTGAACAGTAAATTTACTACACAGCTTACTGCAATGACTGAAGAGATTTCCCTGCACGTTCATGGTGATAGTGAATAGGTTTTTGCTTCCCAACTTTAAGCAAACACAAATAATTACTACTGCAAAATTAAGAAATTAATTATCTTGATCAAATCAGAAGTGTTTATCAAGGTCACTACACTGGCCTATAGTTCTCAATCTGGGTAATGTACATTTTGGTACACATTTTCATATGAAACATTTGCTGGGTTTTGTTTTTTATATGTATTTTTATATCAATTGAGTTCTTCCCACTGACTCCAGTATTTTAAAATGTGAAGTCTAGCCTATTGTGAGAATAGCCCATATGAATTTTATATCAGCATAGGCTCTGTAATCCCTTGGCTTTATAACTTTTTTCCATCAAACAGAAGTGTTGGTTCACCTGCTTTATGTTTTATAAAAATTTACAAGACAAAAAACATAACACTGTCAGCAGAGTAAAGCTATAAGGCTACAGAACTTAGAATGAGAGGCTCTGTGGTTATGTACAGTGCAGCATATGGCCCAGAATAAATCGCAGTTAAAGAGACGTCAGTTGTTATAGTATTTGTACAATAAGTGGCAATAACTATGGATTATCTACAGTGTAACATATGGACAGATCAAATAAGCAGCAGGTAAAGAGACTGTGAGTGAATTGTACCAATAAAGATTCACATTATGTTACTCTGTTTAG